TTTGGAATGTTGTCGACTCGAATATGCTACAATGCTTTGGAACGCAAAACCAGTACTGCCATTTCGAATACTTTAATAAATGTGAGAAACGTTTGGCGTGTAGTTTAATGTTGTTGCACATTTTTTATACAGTGTCCTTTCATGTGTGTTTTACATTTCCCACCGGTGCTTGTATTCTCTGGGGGGGATTAAATTAATAAATATTAATGAAACATGCCCCTAACATCGTATTATAATAGATTTCCATTAAATTACTTAAAGAAGCCCCGGGCCGCACGAGAGCTGTTGACGGGGGCAGATCTGGAGTGATGGACGAGCGACATGCGCCGGGGCTGTCGTGACCGGTCGCAATAAACACCAGCCGAGCTCTCTGCCTCCAGTGGCAGCGAACGTGTCCCTGCGCTTGTTGAACGACGGGGACTTCGCGTAATGGAATTGTCCTACGTTGTTTGCTCTTCCTTGCCGGGATCATATCGCTCGTGCAACTAAAATATCGCCCGCTCCTACCATTAGTTCGTGCCAGTATAAACGGTTCCATATTGATTTCTTTTTTTGTGTGGAAACAGGTGTGTAACATGTCCGTTGACGCTATGAAAAACACAGTAAAAATATCCATCTTCACAGTGTGAGGGAGCTGTTTAAAAGTTCACGTTAATTAAACGGGGGTCTTATGAAATAGAAAATGGGCGAAAAATATTAATAAAATTATTGTTTACTTCTAACTTACATTTAATGCTCAATCTAATACATGGACGGCGGGGAAGCCAATTAGGCACTTGTGTTAATAGTTACATGTGTATTCGTACGTCATTTTAACGACAGGTCAGATGTTTTCTTCTTAACGGATCACTGACTGTTCAATCCTTAACGGATGCTTGGCTGCGTTGTCGATAATAGCAGCACAGTAATGCGAAAAGTCAGTTGCGTCGGAGCGGAGATGAACGTGAGTTAGGGACGTTCGCAGCGACAATACGAGAAAGGAAACCAACATATCGTACGACACAACTATCAGCAGCAGATAAACACCCCTTCGATTCAACCGAATTATGATATGGGATAAGATATGCACGCGGATTCACTATTGTGGAAAGAGATAAATTGTTACCGAAGTTCAAATTTTCATATCGCAATGATGCGTCAGGAAAAGTTCTATTCACCTACTTTCGGACCGACGAGGGAAGTGTGACGGAATGGGCTACTTTAATAAAGATAGGTCCCTGGTATTGCCTTTTGTGTTCCGAAAAAGATGTGCTCAAGTCAACGTGCTTTCAACATACAGATTAGAAGGTTGATAATTAAATGAGTAAACAAGGGTCGTTCAATCATTTTTTGAAGGATCTCACCAAGATATTTCAAAGGCTGGAAATTGTGAGTCGAGCAAGTCAAGCTCTGACCGGTAGGTCCTTCGGTTCGAGTCCCGAAGGTGGCAGGACTTTCGACACTAGCTTCATATCTAGGTCGAATTCAGTCTCGAGGAGAATTCTCGCGGCCGGCTGCTCTGATCGGTAGCATTCCGTGGTTTTTCCGTTCAACACCAGGCGAATGCCGGAGCGGAACCCTAACAAATTGGCCACTGTCAGCGTTCGATCTTTCCTTGCACATCTCTGTCCTATCAGCATCCACACTTACTCTTACATGTACTGCACTACCACACCTGCCGGGAGATCGCTCGGGAGCGTAGAGCGTGCCCCGGCTGCGGCGGTGTCCCGCTCTCCTGGTTGTGGGAAACCGCGCCGCCTCCCGAGGAAATCGAGCACTGCACTTGCGGCAGTAATGACCTTGGCAATTGACGCGTCCGGAATCACTAATCAGTCAATCCAGCGGAGAAAGAAGGCGCCGCCTCCCGCGTTGAAAGCGTGCACTTCGCTTGCGGGATCACCAGTCTCCCAGCGAATCAAGCGAGAGCAGTGCGGAAGGGCAGTCGCGCTTCCAGAGGATATGTCGCTGTCGTTGCTTCGCCTCGACACCCTCAAGCGACCAAGTGCGCATGCGCGGAGCAGCGACGGCTTCTTCCTTTAGCCTGGCAGTGCGTTACCAACTGGGCGTAGCCTTCGAGCGCACGGCCCGGATTTTGTTTTTATGGAAGTAGGCAATTCCGGTCTTTTAATATTAAGAAAATCAGTTTTTAGTAACATATACGATCTACTTTCAAGTTCTACTATAAAAAACAACAACTTTGAACACCAATTTTTGTATTTAAGAATAATCATAAAATCTATTACATTTTTGGTCAGTAAAACCCGATGTGTGTTCGTAAGTGAAACTGTATTACGTAAGACGTAAAATATTATAAATGTTTCAAATGTTTGTTCTGAATGTTTCTGTTTTTGAGTGAAGAGATGATTTTAAACTTCCTAAAAATTATAAATCTCTATAAAACCAGGAAACAATGCATCACCGAGGCTATCAAAGAATCGGTTTGCTTAGAGGTGAACAAAAGTGATTTATAATGCCTCCAATATGTGCATTCGTTAGTTTAGTGTCGAAGGTTTCTTTATGAATTATCATTCAACAACCACAACAAGGTATTGGAACCGTTTGTCGATTTACTGCCCGTTTTACGATAATTGGCAGTCAGGTCGTCTCAGGGGAGGGAAGTCCTCCTTTATATTTTTTTTCTGAGTGTGATTAAGAAATAAAATGACAGATAATTTGGGTGGTTGGAGTGGATGCTTATCTGTTAATGATAATTGCGTGCGTCGCATTGGTTATTCGCGATGCAATCGAAGTAGCTGAGTGGAGGCACTCCACCTGTCTGATTGGCTTCCGTGTGTTGTTTATGTTGACTGCAAGCGCCTCAGGATTGCTAGTACCTTCGCTCTGACGTCACCGACTTGGTTAAGAGCTTTTGCGCAGCGTGAAGCGCCTCTGGAGCTTGTGCGGGGGAGCAGCCCTGACGGAACGCCGATACGCCGGAGTGAGCGGGTGCCATCGCGAGGCTTGTGCCGCACATTAATAAACACTCGTGCTTACTATATGTGGGATGTGTTAGCAGCTTCACGTCCGTTAACTCTTGATCGGTTGATACGGTGTTGTCGATTCGGCAGGTTAAACGTCGCCACTGGAGGTGTCATCCAAGCGCCCTTTTGGATGACTCCCTAACAGCTGATTGACGTCAACGGACTCTAAATAAATCGCAGTGCACTGCTCGCGTAACGCTCCGTGTAATCACTCGTCGCGCTTCACTGTAATGCAAGGGGTCGATTGCAAGCAGAACTCGTCTCCCGGCTCGCGAGCGTTGCATTGGTTGACGGTCAGTGAACGAAGAGCACGACGCACTCGCTTGTGTCTGCGTCAGCGTCTCCATGTGCGAACTTCCACGTTTTCGTCGTGTGTTTGTTTGCGCGGACAGTTCTAAGGAAGCCTGCGCGTTGATTTATGCGCCTGGAGGGCGGAGGGGCGAGAACATTTCTGCTATTCGCTCAGGCCTCTAACCTAGCAACCAATTGAGACGACCGAGAAGCAGTACGAGAGGACCTTTCGACACTCTGTGGGTGGAATTCAGCCGCTCTCTGGAGGAGCTCACATGGTCGGCTGCTGTGGTCGGGAGTCTTCCGTGTTTTTTTTTTCTTTTTTTTCCCGATCAACACCAGGCGAATGCCGAAGCAGAACCCTAACAGATCAGTCGTTGACTGCGCGCGATCTTTCCTTCCCCTTCCCTGCCCTATTGTCGTCCTTACACTTACATGCATTACAGTGCCACACATGTCGGGAGGCCAGAGCTTGTACCGGCAGGGACGATGCCTAGCTGGTGTCAGCTGCCTGGTTGGGGAAAACCCCTGTAAGCCGACGTACAGGTCGGCACCGGATCTCGCCAGCTAGCTGACGATCACCACGTCTAGGTACAAACGGGAACCACAAACGCGGAACCTTAGCAATTGGCGTGACTGCGATCGCCAACCAATCAATTGAAATACACTCAAGCGCAGGCACAAAATGCCACGCTGATTGAGAGTGGTGGGTGTTGTAAACGCGCGTCTCTCTACCTGGGCGGAGCAGCTCCCGGTGACGGCGCCGCCAGCGTAGCGCGCACGTACCCGCCGACTGTTGCTGAGAAGAAACGTCCGGGGCGCCCTCGAGGTACACGGCGACGACACGGGAAGCCCTTTTCTACTCACCCGTTACGAATTTTTGTTCGAGGTGTATATTTATTTATTCATTCCGTGCCGCGCCGTACCCCTCTTTCGTGGACGGTGCCGCTTAAAGATTCACGCGGAGAGGCCGGCGCCTGCTGCGTGACGCCACTGGGAGGCGGCGGATCGGAAAAGCCTCTCGATGCCAACTGAACGTAGCTCTGCCCCCTCGCGAGCAGGATAATTTCAAGGACAGGCGTGCTTGCTACGCCACTCCCTTTACATCGAGACTGTGTAGGCAATGTAATCTATGCTGATTAGGTAATATTTCACTTTAGATAGTTCAAAAAGGGTTATCATGAATATTAATTGAAGAAGAACGTTCGAATCGTAAATTTTATGTTCGATTCGGCAAGTGAAACCATATGTATGTATAATTAGGGGACTTTCTTCAACCAGATTTGCAAAACTAACTTAATTGAACGGTAAATGTATACAATTATTATTGTAGTACGGAATTTAAACAATGTTATTAAAAGATGAAAGAGATCATCACCTAAAGCGATTGTTTACACACAACATATTTGCGGTGTTTAAAAAATACAGAAGGTCGGAACCGAATTTCCAAAGGGGGGTCAATAATTTTGTCAGTAAAGTCAACTATAAGCGTATAAGCGTATCACTAATTTAACATACGATTAATTTACGATTCTTAAACATTTTTGTTTTTTTTAGGTAAAACGCGAAGGGTTGTTGGTGTTTATGAAATTCTGTTATACCTTTCTGTATTTTGAAAATATCTCGGTGCATAGCGCAAAGGCCTCTGATCCAAGTCACCAATGTTTCCCTTTCCCTCTTCCCGTAAAACACCTTTGCACGGATGACCTAGTGTACTCCGCCTACACTGTTTTGGTGTAAAGGTAAACTATGGAACCTCATGCGCAGACGCAAACACTGATGGCCGCCCAGAACGTGCGTGAAGGGTCTGCATGGAGCAACGAGAAGGAATACACTACAAGGAGTGCCTGGAGCGCCGCCTTCTTTGCAGCATATTGAAGACTTTTTTTTCTGTCAAACGGCGACCTCTGGATAATTATTCAATATGATAAACTTGTGCTCTTTGATTTTGTGAAATATAAATCGAAGTCTATAGTAGAAATCAGGACTAGCAAAGCACTCGCTTGATAAATTATATATTTCTGATTCGATTACTTCTATTTTTACAGTTATATGCTCAACATAGTGCAGGCATTAGGAATATTATTATTCTAAACACTAATATTATTTAAATATATGTAACGAAAACGACAATATAGAAATAAGGTCTGATACAAATAACACGTCTATTCGCCACCAGTTCTATACGCCACCACTCATGTTTTGGTCTGAAAAAGAAAAAAAAAAAATAAGTCGTCCCCTTGTTCTGTGAACATCCACCTCGAGCGATGGATCCATAGGGTGAGCCTCGCACTCTGTGTAGGATATTCCAACTCGTTGGTTTGGTTTGGATGCAGCTCTTAAGCAGGACTCGGCTGTTCAATGGCGCTTAATTGCGCCTCTCTCCGCGCTGTGCGCTGTTTGGAGAGAGACTGGGGAGCAGCCGATGGCTCCTTGCCCTCCGCACGCGGCTGGCGCCGGCCTCTTTGCTGGTCGTCTTCTCCCTCCCTCCAGTCAGCTCGAGAACGAAAGAAAACGCTACTGGAAATAGCGCAGTTGACTTGAATGTAAATTTCGAACAAAAACTCGACACTTATGTACACTTGTAGTGGAACTGTTGCAGTGCTTATGCTTTATAAAACAGTCTCATGCCTTTTTGAATCCTGGACATATTCGTACACATTTTACTTTTCCTTGAAGTGGGGGATGGGGGGAGTAAGAAGTGAGATCTGGAGAATGTGCAGACCAATGTAACCACCACCATGTCCTGTGGATCGGTTTGGATAATCTCTGTTCAGAATACGTCTTTGTCGCAGTGGTAAAACGAGTAAGGCTATAAAATACAATCTGCTGTATATACATCTTAGAACAATACAAAATAAGTTTTTTTTTTTTTTTTTTTTACGTTTTGTTACATTGAGGAGGAAGTAGATGAAAAATAAGGTAGCAGATAGCTTTTTACTTTTTTTTTTAATTGGTGGTTTCTTTCTGTAGTCATTACAAATCTAGCTCTATTCTTCAGTTTGACCCCCCCGAAAGCCAATGGTACATATGTAAAACTAGTGGTGCTTCGCGCGATATTGTTAACAGTTATGTAATATAATATGACAATCTCTCATACACTTCAATTACCATTTGAAAAAATCGTAAACAAACGAAGCGTGAAAACTACCTCCCCTCCTGACCCTCCTCAACAAAAATCCCGGTTGCGCCTCTGCATTCGTAATTATCTTTCTTGTGCTCTCAATGCTTTATATCGCCCTTTTCGACTACGGATTCATTGAAATTTCATTCAATGGAGCAAATTATATTTTCAGTTTCGTCAATGGAAGAACAACATTTTATTTATCCTTCGATATTGGTGTTTGTTTCTACGCCCTTCCTGCGAGGACCAAGGTTTCTTGTAATAACTCCTTCCCTGCCCTCGTGCTCAGTGAAGATTAGGCCCTGCGAAGGCCTCCTGCCTTGAAGATGATCGCTGCCACGGTATCTGAAAGGAAATATTGCCTTCTGCATTCTCGTATATCAAGTCACCTATCGGAAAAAGTTTTTACTCTACATTAAAATCAGTAACAAATGATGCATCATTGTACTCTTCTGAATTTCTCTCCATTTCAGGTAAAAAAAAGGGCATATAGTTGTATTTAAAAAATGATTGAATTTCTGCAAAGCTCAAAATTTTGCGAACAAGATCTGTGCCACATTTTACTAGTTCTATGATCCACTATTGCTAGTCGAAATCTGCAATTTACGAAACCTGAACCATTTAGAAGTAATGAGGTTGGTCCATAATTGGTGAGAGACTCGTATATCGATTCACGATTCACAATCATAGAATAACATAATAGGTACATTCCGTACTCTGTCAGAAATGTCATTCCATTTAATATATTAATGTATTGCTCATGAAATTTAATGTAATATGTATATTAAAAGTAACTTATACATGTACAAAAAAATTTAATGCAAACGTTAAGATCTGTATAGATTTAATGCAGAGGTTCCCCATTTCCTGTACCTCTCAACATTTATGTAATGTTGATCATAATCAACATAATCACCAGTGCATCAAGCTCATTCACTCCTTCCAGATACGAACATAATCTCTTGCATGTTAATCATTTTAATGATAATTACTTCAATATTTCACTGAAATAATGCGAAAATGTCTGCCAGTGTACTTTATGGAATTTTGAGTGAAGTTTTGAATAAGAGTTGACGCACGTGGGTAGAGAAATTCGTCTGTTCTCTCCCGCGCTCCTGCCCCTGGGTTAGTCACTCTCCCTCCCAAAGGCCTGGCGGAGTGTGCTCTCCTGACTAGTCACGTCTCGTGTCAGCCGCGAATCGTGCCCCTGCCTCCGACTGCTCACGCGTGGACTTCGTGCGGAATCTAATCTGTTTTAGTGCGTTGCCGTCCCCCCGTTGGGGAGGGTAAACAGAGCCTCGCGATCCAAGGAATGACTCGCCTTCGATAACCGCGTGCGTGACTAGTGAGCTGCCAGCGGACCTTGGGAATGTGTTCGCAGATGGCCTTACGCCTTGCGGTGCAAGGAAGTTTAGTACTCGAATGTAACAGTAGAGAGAATGCCTTAATTGTGGAGACTGTGGAATTACACGGGTTTCTCTAACACAGGGATGCCCAACTTGCAACCCTCGAGGGCCACGATTGAAACCTTCAACATGGTCGAGGGCCGTCTTTTCATTAAGCGGGCGATCCACGCCTGACTTCTCCGTGTTGTTCGCTTGCCCGCGTGCTCTAAAAAGGGGGGAGGAGATGGAACCATGAGTATCAGGATGTGCCATGCACAAAGCACTGAATGGCATTGGGATGATTTCGAATTTCTGAATTTACTAGGAATAATATTCTTAAAAGTAAACGTGGCCTATTTTTGCTTTAAGGGATGTGGATGGAGGGTAGAGCGCGTGCGCTAGCCATGCAATGGATAGGCGACTCCGATGCGAGGGACTTTCACTTTTGACCAATGTCCACTCGCGGGCCACAACAAACGGCACCGTGGCCAGCCAGTTGGGCAACCCTGTTCTGGCACACACGTTCGGAAATAGAATTTTCGAGATTCCCTCAAGGAAATTCCAACCACATTGCTAACGTTTGTGTAGTACTGCGCCCTGCCTTACTAAGCACGCGCTACTCAATCAAAACATTCAATTCTTTCGTTGCTGCCATTGTAAGAAAAGCGAGTCATTAGAAGATAACTGGAGAGGTAGATAGGCTTATCGCTCTGTCACTACTTCTCTGAAAGTTACTCTGCTATTCCATAATTGCGACAGATCTCGTGGCGATTCAGTTGTGGTGCACCAGCGGTGGCCATCCATTCCATACACCTCGTGCCAGTTTTTTCACATACGGTTTTAAACACGCAGTACTCTTCTGGAACCTTCTTACGTTGATGGTCGTGGTTGGAAAATGGAAGCAGGCTAACGAGAGGAAATGTTACCGATAATTCACTCACACAACTAAATTAACGTACGCCAGTTGATGAAATACACGTGGTTATTGAAATGCCGTCCTACAATGGTGAGAAATGATCTCTTGGACGAGAGGGTGATGGTTGTCCTCATGGACACGCTTTGGTGCTACAGCCCCGGGAGAATCTCTTTTGTTGTCGCTGGACCGCAGTAGTTGGTTGGGAGAGAGGGAAAGAGAGAACACCGAATGTTTTGCTGGTGTGGACCAGAAAGTATTTCGAGGGTCGGGGCAATTTATTTTCGAATCCCCTTCCCATAAAGTCAAATTTTCAATTTTTTTTTTACTTGGACTTTGTAAGAAGAGAAGGTTATGTAATCGTGCGCCTCAAAACTGAACTTTTGGCAGAAAAATTCTTATTGCCGAGCGCTGGTACCAAAAAAATGGATAAACGTAGTTGCTAAATATGGACAAAAAAATTCCTCTACACGTAGCCAGAATCCAGTATTTGTGGGTCTTTCGTACCGAAAAGTGGATTGACGGGGAAACGTTTGTGGTCAACGCTAACACCGTTCAGCCGATTTTTCTCCAAAATTGATATTCCCCGATCGATGTGAACGAACTCGAGGTTTTCAGAGTTTCAACAAATTTTTTCTTTACATTTTCTCATCGTATGTATCAAGAGACGGTTAAAAGTATGGTGCTAGTGCCTTTATCGGGTATTTCTCGGTTTTTCGAAAATTACAAAAAGTAACATTTCAACGCTCTAAAATTGAAGATAGAAATGATAGTCTTAACAAAGTCTGTTGTAAAAAAATCAGCTTTTTAAAAAAAGGTAATCTACAATTTTTTGAAAAAACTAACATTTTTTTTGTAATTTGTCCTCGAAATTTACGCAATTTGTAAACAAAAATATTTTCTCAAAAACCTCCCAATTTGTTTTATATAGAAGAAAGAACGCATAAGAGAATGGTGCGGGCTTCAGTTTCGTTGAGCTCTGAATTTTGGTAAATCGCAAATTTAGAATTAATGCGAGAAAGTGTGCTATTGTAGCACTACTACTCCAATATATGGCTCGAAATTTTTAATAAGTTGCAGGTCATGATAGCAGTACTTCTTTGGATGCGATGTGGCACATTTGTGGTAATTCTTTTCGATGAATTGGGAAACATTGCTTTTTGCAGGTGGGGTGACGACGCTTCCCCCTTGCGTTCAGCTTTTGGCGAGCAGGAGCTCCGGGAGCACGGTGAAGCTGAAATTGCAGTTGTCCGTCCTCTGGGTTCGCTAGCAGTTCGGACACATCCCGGATTCCCTTTACTAAAAAGGCCAATGAATGGATGTAATTAGCTGTGTAAATGGATTCGGCTATTGTATGAAAAGTATAGGAGCATATAAAGGTTA